TGACCCGCAGGCAAAACGGAAAGCTACAGCAACCCCCGTGGTTGCGATGCGACCAACCTGCAAGTTACGGGTGCGGGAGGGCTGCTGAAGGTGGCCCAAATCGGCGCCTGAGAACCTGAGCAAGTGCACGCAAGGACCCCCTCTGCACCTCGCCTTGTGCGCGGTAGCTTTTCCGCAATCAGCGCGCTGCCACCTGTTGAAGTCCACGCAGGCACGCGTCAACAATGATTTCGGGTCTGCCCCCTGGGCGCCTCGGGGGACAGCTCGAGGTCACCGAGCGCATCTCGCGAGCTTCCCCTTGGCTCCAGGAGGGCAGCGAAAAACCGAACAACTTTCGGCCATTCATCACTACCAGCTTCCACCCTGTCGACGTCACCTGGCGAGGGCTGACGTTTGGAATGCCCCCCCTAGCTAGGGCATCAGTTCGCCCATTTCCTGGCCCCCCCCCCCCATCTTCTTCAATCGGGCGGTTTCCTCCGAATGCACTCTGGTGGGCTTCGCCAGTTTGAATACTCCAACCGTCGTGAAAGGTAAGAATATGAACGCGCGCTCAATGTCCATCATGCTGCGCTCGACCGCATCGCGATCTGATTGCCGCGGGCGCTCCACGCACAACGTCTGCGCCATCTTGAAAAATCGGCCCATGCCTCGTTCAGCGGAATTCGAACATGGGCGCGCGCCTGCATCAGACAACGACGCTCGGACACGTTGGCATTACATGGAACAACGGAAAGAGGGGCGCCGCTGAGGGCTTCATGCAAGTCCCCCTCGACTGGCCATGTCAACAGCGCGCCGGAAAGGCTCGGTGAACCGCGCAACCACCCATGGAAACGTCGGCCCCTGGACCATCCAGGCAACATTTGGCAATTTCCCACATCTGCCCGTGTACCCAACAATGTCCTCATCGGGAGCGGGGTCGACCTTTTGGGCGGCCGCCCGAAGGAGGTGCCCAGCGGCCCCGCAATGGCGGCCGCCTTTGCAAGATCGGGGCCCAGCTCGAGGAGCCTCGAACGAACGCCCCAAACTTTGTCAGAAGTAAAGCGTCCTCCTCCACTCTTTTTGCTTATAAGCAAGTTCTGCCCGTCGCGCCCCGAGGTCAATTTTCCTGGGCTGGCGTTGCGTTTCGCCTGGGGCCTCGCCGCCCATGGCCCTGCAGCCGCGCGCGACAACGGCCTCGCCGATGCAGGGCGGGCGGTTTTCAACGCGAGGCTCTCGCTGCAGCGCCGCGCGCGTTCGCTTTGCAAGCGTTTCAAAGAGTCGCGGGATGAGGGCGGGTCTTTTTCTCAACATGTCGCTCTCGCTTCGGCGCCGCGCGCGCTCGCTTGAGGCGGGTCGCATCCTAGGGCGGGCGCGCATCGAGGGCGGGTCGTGTCCTAGGGGCGGGCGTCGCCTCGGCCCCGCGCGCACTTGCTCGGGCAGTCTGCATGGGCTTCGCGAGCGGAGGGCGGGCGGTTTTCCAAATGTGGCCCTCGCCTTAACGCCGGCGCATTCGCAGTGAAAACTGTCCGAGTTCCAAGGGTCGAGGGCGGCCCCCCGTCAAAGCGCGGGCCTCGTCGCGGCGCCGCGCCGGGCCCCCGAGATCGACGCGCCAGAACTTGTTTGGGAAGGGTTCAGGATTATAAGGGGGTGCAACAATTGCGATGATTCGCGGCGTTGAAATCGAGGGGATGGCGTTCTGGCTCGACCCGCGACGCAGCAGCCAGGTTGATCCGAGGGGTTGGAAACTCGAGAGACACGTTTTCGGCGCGCTTCAAGGCCTTCAAACGGTCGTCTTCCAACGAGGCAGTTCCCCTTGTGAAAATGAACCGTTGTGGGGGCCGATGAAGACGGAGGGGGCGTGGTGGGGGGGTTCGTTCCAACGTCGTCGATGGCTCTTGGGTTCGCGCCTCCCCCCCCCTCCTCCATCTCATCCCTCCTCCTCCTGCTCGACCCCCCCCACCCCTCCCTGGGGGTCTCGCTCCCAGAGACCCCCGTCTGGCCCTCGCGGAGGTCTCCTGCGCTGGCCCAGAGGTACTCCGAGACATCTTTGCCCGGGAGGTCCCGGAAGGGGCGGGGTCTCGGAGAGAACCAGAGCTCCAGCTCCGCACCTCCCGGAGGACCGCGGGGAGGCCTCCAGGGTATTTGTTGGTCTTCGGGGGCGGGAGGTCTCCCGCTGGTCCTCCCAGAGGGTCTCCAGGGAGGCGCCGGCCACCCCGGGTTTGCGTTCTGAGCCCGTTCGGCGGCGCCGAACCGGCTCACTTTGTCTGTCGCTCGGGAGGCCCTGCAAGTTTCGAGACTGTTGTTGTAGATTTTTTTGTTGCGAGCCCGTGCGGCGTAGAAAAACTACAAACTGAAGTGAGTCCGCTCGGCGGAAAGTGAGCCCGTCCGGCGGCGGTGCGAGCCCGCCCGGCGCGGCAGTGAATTCGGTGTGGATCTGAGCCCGTCCGGCGCGGTTCTGAACCCATTCGGCTGGGTTGTGAGCTCGCCCAGCGGGGTGGCCCACTCGGCGAAAGCAATTTCTGCGCCGCCTGCCGAACTGGCCCGCTATCGCGCGTTGCCTCCCCAGCGCTAGTAGAAAGACGACGTGCTTTTCACGTCCCACTCGGCGACGCGATCATGCTTGTTCAAAACACGCTTCGCGATGCGATTACCTGGCGAAAGTGCCGACGAAACGCAGCGCGCGCGAACCGGGGCCAGTCGCGGGGGGTCGAGAATCGGAGCGCGGGCGGGCGGCGAGGAGAGCGGATGGTTGGGCGGGGGCATTTGTCTTTGGAGCCCGCGGCAAAGCAATGCCGATCTGATAGAAGCTCTCTCTGAACAGCCACCCGACCCGAGGAAGACTGAGCGCCAGAGCGGCCGCGGGATGCACTGCGCGGGCACCTGGGATCGACGGGGGGGGAAACGGGGGGGGCGCGGGGGAAGATAATAATAATGGAGGCGGCGGACGAGGAAGGAGGCGCGCAAGCAGGCCTCGGAGGAAGAGCATGGGAAGGAAGACAAAGGCAACGCGGAGGAGACGGTCAAAGGGCAATTGTTCCTCGCGTTGTCGTTGCTATTCGTCTTCCTCCTGCTCATCCTCCTTTTCTCACTCCTGCTCCAGTTGGCCGTTGGTCCAGCGGCCTCCGCCTGCTCCGCCCTGCTTCTGGTGCTCCTCCTGCCCCTTCTCATGCCCATGCCCCTCTTCCTCCTCCTGCTTCTCGCCGCCCCCCTCCTCGTCCTCTAACTCCTCCACCGCGTCGCCACCGCCATCGGCATATTCATCTTCCTCGCCCCCCCCCCCCCCCTCCCCTTCACCTATGCCATCCACGCTTCAATAGTTGTACATGTGACCGTCTGTCAAGTGGCCCCCATATCCCCTGGCGTCGCTCCCCCTCAGCATCAAGATCAGCATCGTCGCCGCCGTGCGTCATCCCGTCGCCCACGCTGCATTTGACCGTCGGCCGAATGACATCCCCCTCCAGCACCTGCTCTGCTTGCCCGCGCCGTTGCTCTTCGGTGTTATCTTCGCATCTCCGCCGCGCCTCACTCCTACTCCATTGGCCGTCGGTCGATTGGCTTCCCGCGCAATGATCGTCGATGTCGTTGCTGCGCCCCCCCCCCCCCCCCCTCCCCCTCCTCGCCCACGTCGCCGTCGTCGTCTGACCGTCGCCGCCACTTTTGCCATCGCCATAACCATCAGCAAACACACTAGCATCATCAACATCACCAGCATCTCCCCACTCCCGCTCCCTTTGAACCTCGGCAGACTGACCTCCCTACCTTCCGCCCTGCTCCTTCTTGCTCCTGCTGCTGCTCCTCATTATCATCCTCCTCCGGCCCCTCTCTCCTGCTCCGCTTCGCAATCGGTCAAATGGCATCCTTACCGCTTCTCCTGATCCTTGTTGCTCCTCATGATATTGCTGCTGGTGTTCCTCATCTTCCTCAGTTTCACAGCGGCCTCACGTTCAAAGGCCTTCGTCTTCCTCCGCCCTGCCCCTCCGGCGTCTGTTCATGCTGCTGCTGCTGCTGCTCATCCGCATTCGTCCCCTCGGCTCCTGCTGTCTTCGGCTGCAGGTCCAACGCCTTCGCTTTTTCCTCCTGCTTTTCTTGCTTATCCTGTTTCTGCTGCCGCTGCTGACTATGTTTCTCCTCCGTTCACTCCTGCCCCATCTGGCCGTTGGCCGAGTCCCCCCCACCCCCCCTCTCCTCCACTTGCCCTTGCTGCTATTGCCGGAAACGCAGAAGGGGGGAACGCAGACAGAAATGGCGGCGACGGGGCGAGGCAGGGAGGGGACAGGCTTGGGACAGAGACGGACGGTGGAAAGTGCGAGTGGGAAGGGGGGGGGGGGGGGGGCGCGTCTGCGCGCCATTTTTCCCTCGCGCCTTGGGGGGCAGGATAATTAAGGAGGAAAAGGAGCAACGCCAGGGGCGCATGGGGCAGGATGACATTTGACCGAGGTTCAGGTGGAGCGGAAATGAGATGGTGGAGCAATGAGCTGGATGCCATTCGACCGACGCCAACGGTCAAACGCAGCGGGAGCGAGGGGAAGACGAAGCCGACGATGATGCTGATGACGATGATGATAATAATAATGATGATGATGATGATGATGATGATGATGATGATTTTGGCAGTGATGGCGAGGGAGAGGGCGAGGAGTAACATCAAGCGCAATTGACCGACGGCCCGACGCATGCCGATTAGGCCGTGGAGGGAGGGGGGAGGAGGGCGAGGGGGGGGAATATGCAGATGATGGTGACGCAATGGAGCACAAGGAGGACGAGGATGATGAGGGGAGAAGGGTGAGGATGACGGGCGTGAGCGCGACCAGGAGGAGCACCGTGAGCAGTAGGGAAACGGGGGGAAGGCGCGGGACCAACGACCAAATTCAGAAGGGATACGAAAGGGGGAGGGGGAACGGGAGGAGGAGGAGGAGGGGGAAGAGGAATGGCAGCAGCAACGCAAGGACTCCTCCGAGGCCTGCCTGCACGCCTCCTTCTTCGCCCACCGCCTCCGTGATTTTTCTTTCTGTCCCTGCGTCCTCTGCGTTGCCTTTCCCCTCGATCTGCCCGCGCAATGCTTCCCGCGGCCGCTCTGGCGAGTGCTTTTCCTCGGGGCGAGTGGCCGTTCAACTATCATATCTGCATCGGTTCGCTGTGGACTTCATAGAAAGACGCCCCTGCGCGACGCGCCATGCCGATTGCGCCGCAGGGACCTCCGCGCGGAATCCCAGCAGCGGCTATTCCAACAACCCCCCCTGAGCCCAGGCCCAGTCGGACAAACAAAATGCAACGCAGACTAAAATATCAGGAAACAGAATGAAAGAAACATGTATCGAACTTCAAAAACGCATTCGGCGGAAAGCCGCAAGCCCGCTCGGCGCGCAGCCGATCTGCTTCCCGATCATCAGTTCTGAGCCCGCGGCTCACTGAGCACGTTCGGCCGCCGAACCGTCTCAGAACTCATCAAAACGCACCCGCCGAACCGGCTCACTTTGAAATTTTCGTGTTGCCGAAACGACGTGGGCCCGTTCCGCGGGGGTGCCCCATTCGGCGAAGCGTACCCCTGCCAATGGAGAGCCATTGTATTTAAGGAGCTCGTCGAACCAGCCTCATCTTAAGACGCCGAACCAGCTCAATTGACAACCCGGGGGCAGGGGGGACCGATCCGGAGGTCGCCGGGCTCCCAAGAGCGTGTCCTCATCGGCGATGTGCGCCCAAGGCAACCCCATCGATCCACAGCCGCCAGCGTCCGCCCCAGCGCCATGCCCACGCATTCTCGGCCTCGCTCGAGAGCTACCGTCCATTTGGCTCTCCACCACCGCAATGCAGCCATAGGGCACCGCCAGCGGCGGCGAGGACGCAAGGCCACGTCGCCTCGCAGGCGGGCAGGAGTATTGTGGCACGCTGCGTCGGTCACTCAAACCGAAATGTCTAGCGTAGCGCGGCCAGGTGCCTATAGACTACCCAAACAAACCTCCTACAATGACCTCCTCTCCGGACCTAAGCCCCATCGGGTAATGCAAAAATCGTGACAGGAAATGTGTTGTTATTTTTGGTTTTGGGTGGCCCTTCCTAGGCCTCGGGACCGTCAGCGAACGACTCTGGATGGAAGACCTGTCCCGGAGAATGGATCGTAACCGCTAGAACGCTGGATCCCTACAGCAAGGTCGGGCATGTCCTCCTACAGGCGGACTCTGGAATAACGATGCAAAGTGCCCAACAACATACCCAACATATATTATAGAAATCGTCCCCGTAGTATTTTCGATCTATTTCTGAATATTCAAGGGGTCGACGTCATGAAGAAATCATGACGTCGCGGGTTTGGGTAAAGACCTCCATCCTCTCCGGAGGACGAAGCCTCTGGGACGTTTCCAAGAGATCTCTACTACGTTACCCTTACTCCAACACAGAGGAAAAATGGCAGTAGCAGTATGTGCACTGAGATCCCGGAGCGGGAAACACCTGAAACATCGCACAGGAATCGCGACCGGAGCACTGGGCCCCCTCTTCCTGCGCCACTCTTCGAACCGGATCGATCTGCGATGGCCCCTGGGCCCGAAACCTGGCGTTTAAACGCCCAGCTCGGAAAAAATTGGAACGCCAAGATCCCCATACGCCCCCGACATCATGATTTTTCCTTATGTCGACCCCAGGAGGTCTCGACCCATTCCCCTGGACCGGCTTCTCATCCTGAGTCGTTTCCTGACGGTCCCGAGGCCCAGGAAGAGTCCCCAAAGGCAAAAAAGAACAACAAAACAAAACATAGTTCGTCACGCCACTACCCGTGAGGACCTGGGTCTTCCCCCCCCGAGTTCCTGCAGCCACGCGCCCAGGTCCTCCACGCTCGCCGCGGCGGCCCGCGCGGCAGCCCCACGAGGGGCCCCGCACGCGCCGGGCTGCTGCGGCTCCGGCGACGGGTCTCCGTCCCCTGCGGCCCGCTGCACGCGCCTACGCGGTACAGGTAAACATTTTTTGTTTTTGGTATATATATATATATATATAATATATATATATATATATATATATATATATTAAAGAAAAAAAAAAGATTCGGCGTTTCAACATTGGGCGGAAGGGGGGGGAGGAGGGTCTGGCTCCGGACCTCTGCTTAGCGCGACTGCTTACAACCGCGCGTGCCATGGCGTATGGGGGAGACTCCACCTGCTTGAAACGGGCGCCAAACACAGCCAAAATCTACTCCATGTGGGGTGTGTGGGGGGGGGGGGCGAAGGCCTGCGCCGATCGGCAAAACAATGAATGAGAAAACGACGACCAGGCCCAGCAGACATCCGGGTGCTCCAATTTGTTCGGTGCTTGGGCGCTGGAGGGCCGGATCACTCCCCCAACCACAGACCTGCGGCGTCGTGTTTTGTTTTTTTCGCGACGTCGACCCCACGAGGTCTGAACCCCTCCCCGGGGCGGGCTTTTCACCGTGATTTGTGTTTCGATAATCCCGAGGCCCAAATAAGGCCCTGGGAGGCTGAAAATAACAAAACAACCTGCCGTCGCGATTGTTTTCGCAACGCGAGGAGGTATGTGTCTGTCGTCTTGAATCGTCTTGATGCCTGGCGAGGGCGCGCGGAGGCCGAAAGCCGCCAAAAGCCGCCCGCTCAAATTTTTTCGGAGCTTCGCATCTCTATCTCCGAGATCCAACGTTGCAGGGCACTTGCAACGTCGCGGAGAAAAACACGACTGGAGCCTTTTTGACCCCGTCTTTCTGCGCCAGTCCTCGAGTCGGATCGATCTGTGAGGAACCCCAGGGCCCGAAAACTTGTGAAAACGCCCGCTGCACAAAAACAGCTTAGTGCCACCTCCTCTCGCGGCGTCCGCGCCGGCATACATAGGGCGAGAACGGACATGGCGCAGCCAGGACAGCGCCGAGCGGGCGGCGGCGGCGGGTGACGCGACCCGCCCCCGAACGCCGCCCCGCGGCCACGACAGGTCCAGATCACCAGGTAATACATAGGGCGGTGAGAGTGGGAGCAAGAAGTCCACAGGCGGGCACGCGCGGCGCTCCTGAATAATAACGCATGTTTCACCTGCGCCGCACACAGGCCCGCGGTCGCGCGCGCAGGGTTGGGCCGCGCGCCCACCCGCACACCTGCGATCGCACACGGCGGCGGGGGCGCGTGTCGCTGCGCTCCCTGCGTGCGCGCCCCGCCTGATCCGTCTGATCGGTACGCCCGCCTGCGACACACGCGCGCGCGGCGCCCAGCGCTGTGGGCGCGCGCCGCGCGCTGAGGCACCTACGGTATTTTAGTGACCATCCGCGATGCTTCGCTTGTACATCCGCAAAAAAATTGCACCGCCAGGATCTCAGGAGCTCAAAGACCCACTCCCCGGGACCAGTTTTCTCATCCCGAATTGTTTTCTGACGCTCCCGAAGCCAGGCGGGGGCCCCGCGAGGCCGAAAATAGGGAAAAACCTCCCGCCGCGCTTCCCCTGACAGCCGCCGATATGATTTGTTGTCACTCTGCGGTCCCAGGACGTCCCGAGGCCTTCCCCTGGCGTGGTTTTCTTCGTCCCGGGTTCATTTTTGGAGGGCCCCTATGGGCCCGATCGCGGGCACCGAAAGCCCCAAATCCAGGAAAACCTTCCGGACGGAAGAAGTCCGGGGTCCCGAGTCCCGGTAAGGGCCCCCAGGGGCCGAAAGGAGCAGGAAACCTCCCGTCAGGATTTGTTCATTGCCCGAGGGGGGTCTGCGTATAGGGACGCGCCCGAGTGAACCCAACAGGGCGGCGGTGGCCACGGCGGCACGCGGCGGCGCGGCGATACACGGCGGCGGACCCTCGGATCTTCCGGCGTTCCCAAGGATCTCAGGTATTATGGCTGCGAGGACCTCCCATCGTCGGAGCGTCGGATCCCCACAGTGAGGTCGGGCATGTCGTCCTCTCAGGCGGACTGTGGAGGAACGATACTCACTGCGAGGAGCTCTCCATATGTGCATCCTTTTGAACAGGTAATATTGTATTTGAAATATCCGCCGGCCCCCTTGTGGGGCCACCAGGCTGCAGGCCGGCGGTTCGCAGTTTCCTGTGCCAGTTGCAGCTGCCAGTTTCCACTGTTACAGTTTTGCTTCTTGCTGCTTACTGCTCCTTGTTGCAAGTCTGCTTTTTGCTGCTTACTGTTCCTTGTTGATGGACCGCGCGAGGGGGGGAGGCCCAAAACGACAATTTCTACCACGGCCAAAACGTATTGTCTGAATTGCTGGGGTTCGTACAAATTGACACCCCTCACGCAGATCGGCGGGGTCAGGGTGCAAAAACACATGGGGTTTGAAACATTTCTGAAAGCCGGAGTCATCCCTGACGCAGATCGGCAGGGTCAGGGTCCAAAAACACAAGGGATTTGCCACATTTCTGAAATCTGGCGGCGCCCCTCATGCAGATCGGCATGGCCAGGGTCCACAAACAAAAAGGATTTGCCACTTTGCTGACATTCTGTGGCACCCCTCACGCAGATCAGCGTGGTCAGGGTCCAAAAACACATGAGATTTGCCACATTTCTCCAATTTGCTGACACCCCTTACGCAGATCGGCGGGGCCAGGGTACAAAAACACATGGGATTTGCAGCTTTTTCCGAAATCCGGTGGTACCACTCGCGCAGATCGGCAGGGTCAGGGTCCAAAACACACACACACACACACACACACACACACACACACACACACACACACACACACACACACACACACACACACGCACACACACACACACACACACACACACACACACACACACACACACACACACACACATACGCACACACACACACACGGGATTTGCCACTTTTCTGAACTTCGGCGGCACCCCTCACGCAGATCGGCAGGATCAGGGTCCAAAAACAAAAGGGAGTTGCCACATTTCTCAAATTTGCTGACACCCCTCACGCAGATCCGTAGGGTCAGGGTCCAAAAACAAAAGGGATTTGCCACATTTCTGGCATTCTGTAGCACCCCTCACGCAGACGGGCGGGGTCAGGGTCCAAGCACATAGGATTTGCCACATGTTTAAAATTTGCTGGCACCCCTCACGCAGATCGGCAGGGTCAGGGTCCAATAACAAAAAGGATTTGCCACATTTCTGAAATTCGGCGGCACCACTCACGCAGATCCGTAGGGTCAGGGACCAAAAACAAAAGGGATTTGCTACACTTCTGAAATCAGGCGGCACCCCCCACGCAGATCCGTAGGGTCAAGGTCGAAAAACAAACAGGTCCCGACACTACTTCACAGCGAAGCCAAAGCCTCATGACTTCGCTCTTCCATGGCCCATTCTCCGAGAGAGGGGGCCGGCGGCAGGGGGCGAAGCCCCTACGGATTTAAATGAGCGTCTAGCCATATGAGCCATATGTGCATCTCGTATTGTAGGGACACAAGCTCTGCGCCAGCAACACCTGGTCACTCCTCCTTGACCACCGTACGCAACGGGGAGAGCCACTCGGAACACAACGCAAAACCAGAAAACAAGCAAAGCGCCAGAGACATCCCCACAGAACGGCGACGAACGGAGCCGTGAAAACATCCTTGGCGGCTCCCCTTAGGTCGCTGAAACCAGCGCCCCGCCTGAGACATCTTCACGATCTGCTCTCCAAGCGAAGAATGTTGAGGCAGAAAACAAGCAAACCGCTTGAGGCATCAGCACAAAACGTCCGCGAACGGGACGGTGCAATACCCCCCTCGGCGGCTCCTCTTAGGGTTGCTGAAACCAGCGCCCCGCCTGAGACATCTTCACAATCTGCTGTGTGTTGAGTAAGTCTGGGTATGAGTGAGTATGAGTATGAGTAAGTCTGGGTATGAGTGAGTCTCAGCATGAGTCAGTCTGAGTATGAGTAGGTCTGAGTATGAGTAGGTCTGAGTATGACTAACGTTGATATGATCAGGTCTGAGTATGAGTAAGACTGTGTATGAGTAAGTCTGTGTATGAGTAAGTCTAGGTATGAGGAGGAGGAGGAGGAGGAGGAAGAGAAGAATACTGAGGAGTAGGAGGCGCCCAAATAATAACAAGAACCCCATCTTAGGATATGGGGGACAATCAAAAATAGCCAAACCATATTCCGGAAATCGCTCCCTTACGATTTTCTGACTATCTCTGAACATGCCTCCTGTATCGGGACACGCCCGACTGGACCCAGGATCTCGGGTTCTGGCTGCGAGGACCTCTCAGACCCCCGACGTCATGACTGAAGGGGCCCCATGACACACAAATAAATACACACAAACAACAGGATTCCCCATATTTTCATCTATTTTCAGAGTTTTTGTCTTCCCCCCACCTCCCATACTTTCCTATATTTCCCTGGGAGATGACGATAAATTGTGTCTGCGTTTTTGTTCCCTCCTGGATGACTTTTTCATGACCCCGGACCGTCTCTTCGTCCTGCGTCGTTTTCTTGACGGCCCCGCGGGCCAGCAAGGGCCCCCGGAGGCCGAAACTATAGCAAAAAACACCTCCCGCCGGGATTCTGGCCTTGCCCGAGGGGGCCTGGGGTGGGAGGCCCCCCCCCTCCCTGGTCCTCCGCTGTCTCTGCCCGGGGATCTCCCAGGAGGACCGGGGGAGGCATCTGTAGAGGCCTCCCAGATGGGGTCCGAGCAGATGGGGTCGAAGGATCGCGCCGCATGGTCGATGCATCGCCCATGTATCGGCGATGCGTCGACGATGCATCGCCGACGTCGGCGACGCATCCGCGACGTCGGCGTGGGGAAGATCGGGCTCGACATCGAGCCGCATCGTCGACGCATCGGCGATGCGGCGCGACCCTCCGACACCAGCTACCCGGACCCCACGGTACCCAGGAGGCCTAAAAGCTGGGAGGGTCTCCCGGGAGGCATCAGCCCAGGGGAGACCGACCCCGGAGGCCCCCCGGCTCCCAGCTAGGAGCGTGTCCTCATCGGCACCGCGGCCGGGGCGGCACGGCCGCGGCGGGCCGCCGGACTGCTAGCTGCTGCCTTGCTATCAGAAGACGTGGAGGAGCCGACTTCAAGTTGGTATGGAAGATTGAGTTCCGCGGCTTTTGCCATACATATATACAAAGATATATATATATGTATATATATGCATACATACATATACATATATATATATATGAGAATGTTGACCATTTGCAATATTCCCTTCGATTAACTTCCAGGGGCACGGCGGCCGCGGCACGGCGGCGGCGGCCGCGGCGGCGGCCGCGCGGCTCCAGCGGCGGCGGGATCCCGCCGCCGCCGGGGAGTCACGTTCGGAGCCGGATGGGCTCCGTCACTCAGGGGGCAAAGAATCAGCGAGCGAAGAACGGTATAAAATAAACTTTTTCGCCGTCGGGGGCGCCTGCCCCAGGGCGGCTGGAAAGTTTATACCCTTACAGTGGCAACGTAGGGGTATAAACTTTCCAGCCGCCCAGAGGCAGGCGCCCCCGACGGCGAAAAAGTTTATCTTATACCGTTCTTCGCTCGCTGAAAGAAACCTACCTCGCTTCTGACCACCCCCGCTTCCAAGAGATGCCAAGCGATGCCAAACTGCGGCCTCTACTGGCCAGGCCGCTCGACGAGGAGGCGCGTGGCATGACCTGGTTCTGCCTGGGAGCGAACGCGGGGTAGGAAATTTTCACGCTCGGATGTCATTTTCGTTCCCAAACCCCTTCGGGCAATGAACAAAAATCATGAGGACGGTGTTTTCTCATGTTCGGCCTCAGGGGGCCCTTCCCGGCCCTCGGCACCGTCAAGAGACGACTCAGGATGCGAAGCCGGTCCAGGGAGGGGAGTGGGTCGAGACGTCCAGGGGTCGACGTATAGGGAACAACCATGACGTCGGGGGTCCGGGTGGACGGGCTCCATCATTCTGAAGGGGCACTGGGACACACGAATAGATACACACAAAAATTAACATTATCCCCCATATGGTCTTATATTTTCTGGGTTTTTGTCTTCCCCCCCAGTTCCCATCTTTCCCATATGTTCTGGGAATCGCCGATTCATTGTTTCTGTGTGTTTTTCCCCTCCTGGCATTTTTTGAACATTCGTGAGGACATCCCAAACCGGCCACTCGATGGAGGCCCTCCTGCGCGGCGGCTGGACGCTGTGTTTCGTCGTGGTGCTCCTGCGCAGCCCCATATAGGCTCCCTCGCGTGGCGGAGAGATCACGGCGGAAGGCTGCTCCCCAATTTCGGCCTCCTGGGGCCGCACGTGCAAGTCGTTTGCGCCCCTGCTGCATCGCGTCCATGCAAGCAAACTTGCCGGAGCCTAGCACAGAAAGGACTCGAGCCCCGGCGTCGTCGTGACTCTTTTGCGCAGCGTGGGCTCCACCTAGAGATCCGACGCTCCGAAAAAGTTGGCGCGGGCGGTGTTTCGCCGCTTTCGGCCTGCGGGGGCCCTCGCCGGGCCTCGGGAGCGCCAAAACGACTCGGGACGACAAACCGGCCCTGTAGAGCAGTGGTCCAGACCTCTGGGGCCCTGGCATTGAAAACATTGGAGCAGCCGGATGTCTGGGCAGGAGGTTTGGACTCCCCTCCCCGGGGCTGATCGTCCTGCCAACAGCTGTTTGACTGTCCTGGGGCACGGCGAGGGCTCCCGAAGACCGCAAACGGCCCAGAATTGGAAGTCCCGTCGTGTGTTTTTCCACGACGAGGGGGGGGCGGGGGGACGGCGACGACCGCCGCTGGCATCGCGCCTCTGCAACACCAGCAGCGCCCGCGAGTGAACGGCCAGCTGCTCCCGCACCTGCGGGGCAACGTGAGGGACAAGCTCAAGGGGGGGAAGCTCGAGCTGGACTGGGCGACACACCGCCGATAACTGGGCCGATGGATCCGAGATAGGCCACCGACCGCGAATCTGCACGTTCCTGGACGGGGTGGGGTTCTCGGGCCCCCATCGGCGACGAGTGGGCGATGGCGGGGCGATGCATCCCCCCTGTGCCTGCCCCGCCCCCCTCCCCCGGCCCCGTCCCGATCTGGACAGCCCTGGAACGCTCTCGGCGACAGGCGCGGCGGCCTGGCCGTCGCCTGGACGCTCCTGCCCGGTGCATGTGCCGGCTTCCTGTCGCTTCGACCGGAAGAGGTGCGCTCTCGACCCGCGAATCTAAACATGTGCCGGCTTCCTGCGCGTCTTCTTTTCCCGCAAGAGCTGGCCCCAAGTGTTCCTCGATCGTGCCCCCAGCGAGAAGGCGTGCACGCGCCTGAGCGATGCCACCAGTGCGGTAGCAGCACCGCCGGGGCTGGACGAGAAAACGTCGAGTACCGACGACCACGCACAGAGCACCGCGCACCCCGGAGAGCCGCACAGAGCACCGCGCACCCCGGAGAGCCCATCCTCCCCCCGATCACTCGGAGGTCGAGTTGCGACAACAGCGGCTCCAAACTGGCCCCCGCACCCCTCACTGGGTCCACGCGCACCATCTTCCTGAGCTGCGTCCAGCCGTGGCGACGAGGGGGCCCCTGGAAGTGCAACTGCCGTTGCCTCAGCTGGCCCTCGTCTGACTATGGAGGTCTCCCAGATGGGGTCGGAGTGGATGGATGGGGTCGGAGGACCGTGCCGCATCGCCGATGCATCGCCGATGCATCGGCGATGCACCAGCGACGTCGGTGATGCATCGTCGCCGTCCGTGGGAAAAAAAATGGATGCATCGGCCATGCGGCGGGATCCTCCGACCCCGTCGGCTCCGACCCCATCTGGGAGGCCTGGCAGACTACGGTCGGCGGCACGTAGGGGGCCACATGCGAACCCTAACCCCTACCCCCCACGATTTCTGAGGGGGAGGGTGGGGTTCACTTCGTTCGGGAGCTCTCGAGCGAAGTGAACCCCACCCTCTCCCCCTCAGAAATCGTGGGGGGTAGGGGGTTAGGGTTCGCACGTGGCCCCCTACATGTCCCTTGGGGGCAGATCTGGCGCGTCACGCTCTCCGCTCCGCGGCGCGGGCGGCTCGGCAAACCTCGGGGCATGGACGCCGGGGGGCTGGGAAGCGGCTGTGGGGGGGCAGCGACGGGGCAGGGGGTAGGCTGGCAGGGGGGGCAGCGACCGGGGGGGAGGGGGGCAGCGACCGGGGGGCAGCGACAGGGAAGCGGCTGTGGGGGGGCAGCGACAGGGGGGGGGGGACTGGCATGGTGGGGGGGACACATCGGCCTGGAATCGGCGATGCACCGCCGGCAGATCGGGGAAAGGAGCCCAACAATCAACTCCGCACGTTTTTCCTGGGCAGGTTTGGGCTATCGGCCCCCTATCGGCGATCTATTGGCGATTGGGGGTCGATGCATCGCCCCCGACGCCCACCCCCCAATCACTACTTGAGTATCATTTAACTGATCCCCATCCCCAGAGGGGTGGCCTGGGCCCCACTGGCCGATTTACCCCCCTCGATGGGGATATAGGTCGTGCCCTTCGGGTTACGAGGGGTGTATCCCCAGCTGGTTTGGTAATTTGGTGGGGGTCTCGAAGGGGATGGGGATGGGGATGGGGATTGGTCAAACGATACCGACTACTATTGTTCCTGAGGCTGGCGTGCAGCGCCGAGGCGTGGTGGGCCAGAACGGGCGGGAGCGATACGCTGACCGACAGGTCCCAGCCGCAGAAACCCAGACATGCGATGCCGCCGCATGTCATCACATGTCTGGGTCTCTCTGAGTCGGCACCGCGCGTTGAAAAAATCCAGGCATCGCAGCGATGTCCTGACTTTCCCATGCGCGATCCCCGGAAGTCCCGACCCGTCTCCCCGGGGCCCCTCTCAGAAACCGAAAACGGCTAACAGAAACACCCGTCGTGCTTTTGCAGGACGCGGCATGTCTGGGGACTAACGTAGAGACCAACGTTGCCCATATAGCTGCACCGTTCTACCACTCAACGAAAGCGCCGTTCCACTACCACTTAGTTTCCCCTATGGAGCGCTACCACTTGCCTGGGAACGGTTCTTCCACCTGTGTGCCTTTCTTCCACATCTCTGAAAGGCTGTCCTACCACCTACCACCTGATGGAATAGTTTGTTTGTCTTGAGGCTTGAATTACCTCGTACCTGAAAGCCATGAGAGAAGAGCCAACCTAGGTAATTACGGTAGGTTCGCGTCGTGTCCACCATCCAACGGCGACCCCGCCGCCCGCCTTCAACGTTGAACGCGGCCGGCGACCCAGAATCGTTCGATACCGAACAGTCTGACGTTTCGGCAAGGCCAATCATTCAGGGCTGAATGCTCCCCGCGGTGGCAGGAACCAGTGCTGGGGCCGACACGACACGACACGACCCTGCCGTATGTCTTCGCCCATGGGCCTGCGGGGACAGCAAGCGACCACAACCACATCGAGGACACACTCTGGGGGATGTCTTACGCATGCCAGAAAATTTCGGCACCCCGAAACCAGCTGCGTACTGGTTGTGGTCGATGTGGCGTCCCAGGACGGCGAATTCGACCACAACCACAACCAGAGTGCTCATGTCGAGGAAGGTAGGTTCTCCCCCGAGGGGCCCTCCCGAAAAATCCGCTTACAACAGAAAATAAGACCAATAAGTTCATAATCGAGTAAATCTGGGCCACCTCTCCCCCAAAATTTCTTTAGACAAACCTGGACCAACTGCTCGTGTCAACGCTGGAAGGGCGAACGCGGTCAAGAAACAGGGCCAGCCTCCCGCAAGCTGGTTGAGAAACGCTGGCCCAACTTTTCTGGAGGAGGCTTCTTCACCAGATGCTCGACCGTAGCTGTGGTTGTGGTTCTTTGTCCCAGACATCCGGCTGCTCCATGTTTTTCGATGCGTGGACTATGGAGGTCCAGACCACTTCCTATAGGGCCAGCTTCTCGTCCTGAATCCTCTTTGTTGACGCTCCCGAGGCCCAGCGAGGGCCCCCGGAGGCTGAAAACGCCCCAAAAGTCGCCCACTCCATTTTGCTCGGAACGTCGGATCTCTATCCCTGACATCCGACGTTGCAGAATAATTGCAACATCGAAAAATCGCCGACCGGAGCCCTTGACCCAATCTTTCTGCGCCATCTTTATTGAGCTGGATAGATCTGTGAGGAAACCCAGGGCGGGAAACCTGACGAATACGCCCGTTGTCAAGAAACTGCAACGCAGGATCTAAGGGCATGAGCCTGCTTTTTATATCTTCAAGCAAGTCTACTCGCATGGCGTTCGCCCTCCCCCCCCGGCCCCCCCTCGCCCCTCTCAAGATGTATACTAGCGTGCAGATGCCCTTCGCTTCTTGCGTGATTTCCGCACGTGCAGCTCGTTCGCGGCTTGCTTCAGATTCAGGCTCCTCCCCTCCCGTCAATTCGGGCCGGGCGAAGGGGGGGGATAACAAAGCGATGGTTTGAGAATCAGCTCACGTAGCTGATTTTACCGGCGCCTCCCGGCGCCGGGAGGCGCCCATGTATCGAGGAATGGGCCCGGCGGCGGGGCCGAAACCAGCTGCATGCAGCAAATTCTGTAACCCCCCCTTTCCCAATCCCCCCCTTTCGTCCGGCCCGAGATCCAGGCTCCCCCCCTCCCGTCAACGCAAGCAAACTTGTCAGAGCCTAGCAAGAACAGGCTCATTCATTTCCTGGGTCAAGACTCGGGCCTCCGGCGGTCGCTCGGGACGATCCGGGGATTCCCACGGCACGCTCTCGGCGAGGCGCAGTCGCTGGAGCGCATCCCGAGGGTGGGAACCCATCCAGAATCTGCGAACACGCCCGGAAACCTCGCTCGTCGAACCCGAAACTTCCCCCCTCGCTCGCCGCCGCTTACGCAAGTAAACTTGCCGGAGTCTTACAGAAAAACAAGCTCTGTGACTTGAGTCGGGCTGGGGGGTCAGGTCTGCAGAAAACCCCAAACGGAAGTCAAGGGGCGCAATCAGCCTGTTCAGACCAGCTGAAACTGATGCACCACACCCGGCGTCAAGCCAAAACTTCGGACATAAGCGAATGGCTGGACTCTGCACGTCTTCGCCGGCTTAAGCGGCGAGGCGTTTGACCACCTTGACGTCCCTTTTTTGGTGGTCCTGCAGAGGACAGCATCGGGCAACCCTGCGGATCTAAAGGGGCCCTAGGACACACAAAGAAATAGACACACATCCCAGGATTCCCCGTATGTTTGCCATATGTTCTGGGTTCTCGTCTTCCCCCCTCCCTCCTCCTATATTTTTTCATATCTTCCTGGGAGTCGACGATGAATCGTGTCTGTGTGTGTGCTTTCTCCCCTCCAGAGGATCGACGGTGGGGCAAGGCTCTCTCTGACCCTCGGTCCTGCTCAACCTGTGGCGGTGCCCTCCCCGTCGCTCGGACGTCCATTCCTTGTGCTTATTTCGGTTTCGTGCGCGGTTTTTTCGCAGGATAATCCAAGATGCTCCTTAATAATCCCCGCCGAGAAAAATGAAGGGGCCCCAGGACACACAAAAATAAATACACACACATAAAAAGATTCTCCCCAGATTCTCCCTATATCTTCTGGGCTTCTGTCTTCCCCCCCACCCCCCACAGTTTCCCAGATTCTCGGGGGAATCGAGGATGAATTGTGTCTGCGTGTTTTTCCCTCTCCTGAGCAAAAAAAAAAAAACACACGTCCGAGCGATGCCACGTGCCCGGAGGACCTCAGCCTCGAAGCCCCGCGCGGCGCCGCCGGCCCCGCGCGCCGAGAGGCCGCCCCGCCGCGGGCCGGGGCGCCCCGGCGGCGCGGAGGCGGAGGGCGCCAGCGGCCGCGGCCGCGGCGCGCCGAGGAGCGCCAGGCTCTCCTCGGGAGGGGCCAAAGGGGCACAGGGTCTAGAAGTATGTTTGAGGGATGAAAAAACGACCCTACCCTGGGTTACAAGTGCGTGGTCTGTAAACCGCCTGGGACCCCCCCAAGCCTAGAGCCGCCAGGACGCGGCACATCACGCAGGGTGTGCCCTGTCAGCCAGCAGGAGTTTCAGCGCACAGCGCCTCGTAAACCAGGGTAGGGGCGTTTTTCTGCCCTTGATATTCAGAGAAGTCCCAAGATTCCCTATATTTTCCCCGTATCTTCCAGAATTGCCTTGTTTTTCCCCAGAATCCCAAGACCCCCCCTGTTTCCCTGAGTTTCGTCTCCCCTTCCGCTTCCCATACAGTAGCTACTTTCCAACCTTGGCCCGGGCATCGACGGCTCGTGGGGTCTGCGCTGTCCTTCCCCTCCCGATCCTCCGCCTCCTCCAGGAAGCGGGCCGCGGCGGGCCTGGAGAGAGGAGGGGAGGGCATGGGGGGAGAGGCAGAAGAAGGAAAGACGGCATACAGTGAGGGTCTTGACCTAAGGCCTAAGGAACCATAAGTAAGGAACACCGGGGGGGCTCGCCGGCAAAAAGGTAGCGGAACGCATGCAAACCCAAGAAACGACCGAGCCCCTTTTGAAAAGTAAGTGTTCCTCACTCAAGGCTTTCACTGTACACATAAACCTTTGGCGCGCTGCGCGGAGTTTTTTGGACCTGCACTGGACCCCCCTCCCCGGCGCGCCTCTGGGGCCAGGGGCTGCGCCGGAGGCGCCGCCGGGGGGGGGGGCCCAGCGCGGATCCAAGAGATGCGCGCGGGGCGCCGAAAGTTCAGGTTCATGGCGTTGTTTCTCCGTCGAAAAAGAAGAAGGCGGGGGAGGAGGGAGGGACCCAGTGATCTATTTCTATCACATTTAGCCTGCTCTTTGTTTGCAGACTCCGGCATGGACGGGGGGGGGGCGGGGCTCAACCCTCAAGCAAGCCGCAAACGACTTGACGTGCGGGAATTCACGTAAGTCGAAAGGCACTTGCACGCTAGTCTTCGTCTGAAGAGGGGAGAGGAGGGGAGGGGGGGGCGAGCGCCATGCAAGTACACTTGCCTGGATCTTTAAACAGGGCTCATTGGAGCGGCGGGTTTTCGGCTGTTTTCGGCTTCCGGGGGCCGTCGCCGGGCCTTGGGAGAAATCAGGGGGGGACATGGGGGAGAAGAGGACAGGGGACCCATACTGCCTCGAGTCGTGAGCAAAAATCACGACGGGAGGTGTTTCACTATTTTCGGCCTCTGGGGGCCCTCACCGGGCCTCGGGGCATGGATCGAAACCTCTGGGAGTCGACGTTATGAAACAAAACATGGGTCTGGGACTCTGGGAGAGGACATGATGGGAAGAAGAGGACAGAGGAAGATGGAGGGAAGAGGGAGGGAGGGAGGAGGAGCAAGGAGGAGGGAGGGACGAAGGAAGAGATGGAGGGAGGGAGGGAAGAGGGGGGAGGAGGAGTTCGCATCCCCATCCCCCGCCTTCTCCTGCTCCCTCTTCCACCTGCTCCCTCCTCCTCCTCCTGCCTCCTCCTCCTGCTCCCTCCTCCTCCTCCTCCTCATCATCATCATCCCCCTCTTCCTCCTCCTCCTCCTCCTCCTCCTCCTCTTCCTCCTTCTCCTCCTGCTCCCCCCTCCTCCTCGTCCTCCTCCTACTCCTCCTCCTTGAAGCTGACACTACCAGCTTTGGAGCTCGGTGGGGGCGCGGCCGTGCCGCATCCTCCTCCCTGGAGGGCCATTGAAGCCACGATGCAAGTCAAGGGGGCCATTCCACGCACGTCCAGAATCATTGGTTCTCCATCCCTCTTTCTCCACATCCTCCTCCTCGCCCTCCCCTTCCCATCGACCTCCTCCTCTTCCTACTCGTCCTCCTCCTGCTCCCTCCCTTCCGAATCCTCGATCTTCCTCCTCCTCCTCCTTCTCCTCCTCCTCCTCCTCATCCTCCTCCTCCTGCGTGGAAAGGGAGCCCGTCGCCCTGGGGAGGGGCTGGCGCCCACGGTGGGGGGCTGGGTGTGGGGTCGTGGGGGGAGGGAATGTCGGCCGGCAAGCCGAATCCTTGATCCTCCTCCTCCAGCGTGACAAGAGACGAGAGCCCGTCGCACTGAGGGAGGGGCCTGGCTCAGGGTGGGTGCTCCTCCTCCTCCCTCCTCCTCCTCCTCCTCCTCCTCCTCCTCCTCCAACTCCTCCTCGTCCTCCTTCTCCTCCTCCTCTCCTGCTCCTCAACCTCCTCCTCCTCCTCCTCCTCCTTCTCCTCCTCCTCCTCCTCCTCCTCCTCCTCCTCCTCCTCCTCATCATCATCATCATCATCATCATCATCATCATCATCATCATCATCATCATCATCAGCATCATCATCATCATCATCATCAGCATCATCATCATCATCATCATCACCATCACCACCATCAACATCATCACCACAACCACCATCATCACCATCATCATCATCATCAGCATCATCATCATCTTCATCATCATCAGCAGCATCATCATCATCAGCATCAGCATCATCATCAGCAGCAGCATCATCGTCAACATCAGCACCATCATCATCATCATCATCATCATCATCATCATCATCATCATCATCATCATCATCATCATCATCATCATCATCATGCTCATCATCCTCGTCATACTCGTCATCCTCGTAACCATCGTCACCATCGTCATCATCGTCATCAGCATTAGCATCAGCATCATCATAGTCATCATATTCATCATCAGCATCAGCATCATCATCCTCATCTTCATCACCATAATTATCATAATCCTCGTCATCCTCGTCATCATCGTCACCATCGTGATCATCGTGATCATCGTGATCATCGTCATCAGCATCAGCATCAGTATCAGCATCAGCATCATCAGATTCATCATCCTGATCATCATCATCATCATCATCATCATCATCATCATCAGCATCATTAGCATCAGCATCAGCATCAGCATCAGCATCAGCATCAGCATCCTCATCCTCATCATCACCATCACCATCACCATCATCATCAGCAGCAGCATCATCATCATCAGCATCAACAACATCATCATCATCAGCATCATCAACATCATCATCATCACCATCACCATCATCATCATCGGTGGGTGGGTGGCGGGGGGTCTAAGAAACGTCGGCCGGCCATACCGACGACACGTTGCCAGAAAACACGGCAGAGCTCCCGACCCATAGCGACAAGCCTGGCTCCTGGGCCGACTGGGCCGCCCGAGGGCCCAAGCACCGATCGGCGACGAATATGCGCGCTCGAGGGCAAAATAAAATCCGAGGCATCCCACGTCGAACCTGCTTCCGAACGCGGTTTCGTCCACTCTCCTGGGCCAGCTGTTCGCAGGCATGAAAGGTGCCACCGCTCTGGAGGGGCCGCTCTGGAGGGGCCTCTCTGGAGGGGCTAGCTTTTCGCCATGAGGTGTTGTTGTGTCTGCCCCCGGGCACACTGGAGGCCCCCACAGCCTCAAAATCGGCCATAGACCGTCCGTCGCATTGTTTGGTCTTAGGACGCGAGAAGGTTCGAGGGGTTGATAGGGGTGAGACGCATCTCCGTCTGGGCCATCGGCGGAGGCAAAATGGTGCACGGGGGATACAACAAGAATACCGATAACTGCCGCTACTCCCCGGACCTCTCCCTGGCTGCGTTCGGACCAGGATTCCGAAGCGAACCCAGCGTTGGCGACGAGGGCCGCCCAGGAGGTACCCGCAAAGGGAACACGGCGGAAGGACAGCAGTTCGGTAACAACTCATCGCTCCTCAGCAGAGCCCCCAGAGCCCAAGCCCTTGCAAACGGGGCGTTTGTAAACGGGCGGGTAGCCACGGATGCGTTTTCAATGGTGCTTTCAAACAACTCATTTGCCGCGCGCAAGTGCGAGGTACCCCCCCCCCGTCGGCTCTTGCGAATCGACTCAGATCGACTCTGGTCGACGCTTATCGACGCTAGTCGAGTGAACCGACGCAGAATCGGCGCTAGATCATCGACTCCCAGACGCTAGTCGACGCCAAAAACAACATTGAGAGGGTACGCCTGGCTCCCATGACGTGCTGCCGAAGAGCAGTCTACGGGGATGCATCGCCGATAGATCGGCGACCGGCTCCTGGCAGTGACTCCGCACCTCTTCCTGACCAGGTTGGGGCTATCGGGCCCCTGATCGGCGATCAGCGGCTGATTGGGAGTCGATGCAGCCCCCCTATGCCCATCCCCCCCCCTACCGCCGCCCCTGATCTCTCTCCGGGTCGGACAGCATCGAAGGGGAGCAGGCGCGCGAATGGGCCCCAGGGTTACACACTTTTTGTATGCCCTCCATGGGGAACCCAGCGGCGAGAATGGGTGACAAGTAGACGCGGGAAGGCTGGAAGAGGAGGGGGGGAGGAGGAACGAGAAAGACAAAAACCGCACCCCGCGGGCGCGTGCGAGAAACACATAAACAGACACGGGTACGAACCAAAAATCCAATCTTTCCACCCCACGAAGCCCCCCAGAGGTCCCAGGAAGCCCCCAAGCGGCCCAAAAGAGGCCTCCTGTAAGCCCCAAGAGGCCCTCAAGGGACCCTCAGGCGGCCAACAAAAAAGTCCCAAACACGCTCCAAAACCGCCTACAAGAGGCTCCGCTAGGCCCCCAAAACAGCACCCAAGACGCCCACCCGAACCCCCGCAGAGTGCCCAAGACGCCCACGACGCCCTAACGCCTTAACCGTGGACTCCTTACCTCTACTGGGGGTCGGCGGAATGGCGTAAGCCTCTTGAATGCATCGACAAAATTCCAGGACTCCCCATAACTATCTGCAATCTTTTCTTGATGCTCGTCTTCCTCCCCACTTCCCACGTATTCCCTGTTCGCACGGGAACCTAAGATTCTTGGTGTCTGTGCTTATAACCCTCCTGAGGAGGAGGGGCGCAG